CTTTCAGTTTTCTGCACAGTATTTAGTCTGCTCTGTTTGTGGTTGATTGTTGATCTCTGTTCATGCCTTATAGATTTCGGTTTTGAGTGGCGGTGTACATCTATATCACATTTCGGAATGGCGGTGAGTTGGCGTCTGGAACGGCTCTTGTTTTCTGCTTCTTTTCAATTTTCATTACCTGAAAGTTGTGAACGATCTGTTATGGTGCGTGTTGTGTAGATAGAAAGGATTCTTAAAGATGATGCTAGTGAAGAGAAAGGAGAGCGTGCCAGAATGGTGAGTTTTCCTCTGGACTTAGTTGAATTGAAGTGGTTGTAGAGCTTAATCTTGTCGTACGGAAGTTATTTAACACTAAGTTTACTTTCCTAGGCATCTTTTGTTGGCGCCATGGCCATTGCTGATCTGGTCAAGACAACTCTGGGTCCTAAGGGGATGGTAAGCTTTATTTTCTATAGAGTGTGCTTGTACTGGTTTGTCTATGCTATTAACTAACAACTTGCACTTTTCGGTTGTTTCCGTTCCCAGGATAAAATACTGCAGTCTACTGGAAGAGGTCAGACAGTGACTGTAACTAATGATGGGGCTACCATCTTGAAGTCACTACACATTGACAACCCAGCTGCTAAAGTCCTTGTTGGTATCCTTACTTTTGTTGTTACATATACCTACTATTGTCGATCATGTTTTGTTTGGGTTCTCATCATTCCTATAAGATTGTAATTCCATGGGAGTTGGTATGATGAGATTCAGTTGCAGTTACTAAATTGTTTGCCACACCGCTGTTGTGGTAGAAATATTGGAGCATGGTGCAAAAATATACATCTTGATGCTGATCCTTAACCCTAAATTAGATATTTCGAAAGTTCAAGATGATGAAGTTGGGGATGGGACAACTTCAGTAGTTGTCTTAGCTGGTGAACTATTGAGGGAGGCCGAGAAACTTGTTGCATCGAAGATCCACCCAATGACCATCATAGCAGGTTTGCTCCGGGCATTTCAACTTTGTATTCATGTTCTCTCCTTGCATCATTTGAGTATTGGAAACCTTGGTTACTACCATTCTTAGAAGAACATTTAGCTCAACTTTACTCTCCGTGGTGTCTACCAAGCTGCTGTTGGCCATTGTGGTTTGGATGTTTGCCCACAACCCCTTGGTCACTGGTTCAAGCTTGGAACTCTCTCACTCTCTCGTGGTGTCTGGATTATGTGACTGTTTCTCTAAATATTGTTATAAATAATCTGTGGTTCTCAACATCAAACTGCTATCAGACACTGCATGGTTTAATACTTCGTGTGGTTGGCAGCCTCTTTGCTGCAATCCAATTTTTTTGTAATATTTGGGTCATCTTACTCTTGTCACTGTGTGGAATCATGTCCATGTTTCTGTACATATCTGCATCTAAATTGGTGGTCATTGATTCCAAATCACTACCATACTTGTGTATATTGTGATGATGGCTAATAACCAGAAACTTACATTTTTTAATTTCAGGGTTTCGGATGGCAGCTGAATGTGCTCGAGAGGCTCTTCTTAAAAAGGTTGTGGATAATAAAGCTAATGAAGGTACTTCTTATGCACTGATAACTTGTTGGTCCAGTGCGTTGACTTCCAACTGTTTTTTGTTTATGCTGGTCGTTTGCTGGGACTTGGGATTTTGTTGTAAAGGTAATTGACATGATTTAAAGTCGTTGTGATTACATATTTGTCTTACTATTTTAAATTATCAAATTGCAGAGAAGTTCAAGACAGATTTGATGAAGATTGCAAAGACAACTTTGAGTTCCAAAATATTATCACAGGATAAGGAACACTTCGCCAAGCTGGCTGTTGACGCTGTTTTGAGGCTAAAGGTGAATGGGTTTTTAAGTTTGCCTGGTTATGAATTTATCTTTTTCATGTCATGAGTGTGTCCCTGCCATTGTTCCATTTAAATTTTGGAGTTGATTGAGAACTAAGAATCTCAAGTCTTCTTCATGCATAGATTATATCCTCTCGGGACTGTCTCTGAACGTGCTAGTGACTGGTGGCTGGGTTCCGCATGTAGGTTCTCATGTGTGGACTGTTGTAGTAGATATAATAAGCTGCAGTTTGAGTGCAAGGGGCTGTGTCTAATGACCTTTTGATTTTATGTTTCACATTGTTGAAGGTTTGGATTATTTGTGCTAACGCTCTGTTGATCTTGCCTCCTATTTCTAATGTGTTGTTTCCTTATACTTCTTGGTTACAGGGCAGCACAAACTTAGAATCCATCCAAATCATCAAGAAGCCTGGTGGTTCACTTAAGGATTCATTCTTGGATGAAGGGTGGGTATATGTGAACGTATTCACCTTTGCGGCTTTTAGTATCATGCAAAGTCCTTGTTTTCCCAACAGTCCTCACTAAATCAATGTCTCTCTGTTCAGGTTTATTCTTGACAAGAAAATCGGAATTGGACAACCAAAACGGATTGAAAATGCTAACATTTTGGTGGCTAACACTGCAATGGACACAGATAAAGTAAAGATCTACGGCGCACGTGTTCGTGTTGATTCAATGGCTAAAGTTGCTGATATTGAAGCAGCTGAGAAGCAGAAGATGAGAGAAAAGGTGGACAAGATCCTAGCCCATGGGATTAATTGCTTTGTTAACAGACAGTTGATTTACAATTTCCCAGAAGAACTCTTTGCAAATGCTGGAGTGCTTGCAATTGAGCATGCAGATTTCGATGGGATTGAACGGCTAGCTTTAGTGACCGGAGGTGAAATTGCCTCAACTTTTGACAATCCTGAATCTGTTAAGCTTGGACACTGCAAGCTTATTGAGGAAATTATGATTGGAGAGGACAAGCTAATTAAATTCTCTGGCGTTGAGATGGGCCAGGCATGTACTGTCGTACTACGGGGTGCAAGGTAATCCTTTTACCTTTAGTATTCGTTGCATCTAGTATTTGTAGTTTGTTCAGGATCGTTGGTGATTTTTGCTCTTTCTTATCAGTCTTGCCTAACTTTGTTTCTGAAATCATTATTAATTTTGCTTTCATGCACATGTAATGCCTAGTGGGAGAAATTTATATCAGGTGTATTTGCTTTCTTCTCTCTTTACTATGATGTCACATCATGTGAATTATTGTTGGTGTAGACACATACATACTGGTTTTATGGTCTAATTTTCAATTCGTCTCACTTAGAAATATGTTTCTTTTACCTTGTGCAGTCATCATGTGCTCGATGAGGCAGAAAGGTCCCTACATGATGCCCTCTGTGTTTTATCCCAAACCGTGAACGATAGCCGGGTTTTGTTTGGAGGCGGATGGCCAGAAATGGTGATGGCTAAGGCAGTCGATGAACTTGCTCGAACGACCCCGGGGAAGAGGTCTCATGCCATTGAAGCTTTCTCCAGGGCTCTTGTGGCCATTCCAACCACCATCGCAGATAATGCTGGTTTAGACAGTGCTGAGCTAGTAGCCCGGCTTAGAGCAGAGCACAACAAGGAGGATTCTAATGCTGGCATCGACGTCATCTCTGGATCTGTAAGTATTTTGGATTTCAATTGTTGGAACTTCTCTCCGTTTCTTGGCTAGTACATGAGATGAATTGTGAGAAACCTCAGAGTCCTGCTGCCATTACGCCTTACTCAGTCTCTTAGCTAGTTAGCTTCCCCAACTCCTACATGTTTGAGGTTTACCGATAGTGAACGAGCTTAATTTTATTAAGTTTCACTATTTGACCTGGCCCCATCATTTATGTCGTGCAGGTTGGAGACATGTCAGAGCTAGGGATTTCAGAGGCGTTCAAGGTTAAGCAAGCGGTACTGCTTTCTGCAACCGAGGCTGCCGAGATGATCCTCAGGGTAGACGAGATCATCACTTGTGCGCCACGAAGAAGAGAGGATCGAATGTAAAACGTGGATTGGATCTGCTGCTTTCTCTCTTAGGGCACTTGCATTTTGGCCAATCAATCTTATGAACTGTATTGTCATTTAACTTAGATTGTGAAACTGATAACTTTGCCAAACCTGCCCCAGTTTTTCGTGTGATGCCGGTTTCTGTAGAGTTGTGGAACTCCAGTGTTTTGTATTGATCGAATTCTAAAACTGTGCATTGTTATTTGAAAACAGTATCGTGTTTAGATGGTTTTGGACTTCTGAAGTTGCTGTGATGCAGGACGAGATCTTTTGTTATTGAAAATTCTGCTCTTGATTGAACCTTGCTCCCTGTTAACTACGCATTTTTAAAAGCGTAGTTCCCCTGTATCTTAGGGAGTCTATCAGCATTGAAGTCCCCTGCTACTGTATGTTTGCTTTTTCGCTACGCTCATTGCTGTAGAAATCCACTTTGACTACGTCTCCATATTCTTTAAGATTCTTATAGATCAGAAGAGTTGCTAGACCTTGTACTGTGGAAACTAATGGTTTAGAGACTGTGCTATCTGGTTGGACTGGAAATATCGCATACTGAATTCAAATCTATATGCGATTTTATTTTTAGCCGTACAAAACAATTGGATCACAATTTAGTACAAATATACCGTCACTGAGATGTCCGGTATAACCTCCAGTAAGGTTATCACGATTTAGTACAAATACACCATCACTGAGATGTCCGGTATAACCTCGGTAAGGTTTTCCAATCCTTGATGGTAACGGTGTAATCAAATTAGTTTCACATCCTAATTCTGCTTTGGTTCTTCATTCTACAAAAAAGCTACTTTGGTTCTTCATCCTACAAAAAAAGCTACTTATAAGAGGTAAGGAATAAACTCATTCTTGTTTAGAAAAATGTCATTCAGTAATTGGTTCTTCGTTTGAAAAAGCTACTTCTAAGAAGGGAGAAATAAATTCATTTTTGGTTAGAAAAATTTCATCCCTTAACAATTGACGAGAATTGTAGTAACATAACGCCTGAATTCGACATGAAAGTCCTATGATCTACTTCCGATTGTTTATTTTATAAGACAGAAATTAGCAGGATCCCGTTAGACTCACTCATATGATCTAATTAGGTTAATTCCAAGTATATGTGCCTGATCTCTGTCATCATAAAAACAGCAGCGAGTTCCCATTTCTTGATAAGTGTGGAATTGGAGCTGTCCAGAAATGTGGACACACCCCATTTTGATGCCCGAGAATTTGGATTATATACTGCCTTCATGGAGGGAAAAAATAAGAAAAAGAATCTTATCTCTCGCTTCTCTAATTTGTTTCATTTTAGTATTTTACCTGTTTCTGATTTAATTCTTGGGATTCGAGACGCCTGCTTCCGTCACCGTTGCAAGTCATCAGTGAGATTTTACAAGAGCAAATTGACGCTCTTTCTCGTTCGCTCCCTCTCCCTCTCTCTCTCTCTCTCTCTCTCTCAGCTTAGAGAAAGTCAGCAAACGCAGCCAGCTCTCCAATGGCGGACGGTTCAGGGTTCAGTCATCAACTCGTTGCTTCTCACAGATTCCCCGAGGTACTAATCACAAACTTAAAAAATCATTTCTCGTGCGGTTCCGCTTCCGAATAAGGAGTTTGGCTAAGATCCGATAGCTTTCTGTTTGTTTGCCCTGTCATTTCTCGTCGGGATTGTTGGCGGTGACCAGACGACGTTCGATTACACGGAGAGGTAGAGCTCTCTCGGTCCCTCGCCGTAGTTCCGTTTTCTTGTACCTTCTTCCATTGAATTTTGGAGTTGTCTGAATGTCTTTCTGCTTAATAGAGACGTAGCTGTTTATGCTCTGGGAATCGGAGCTTGTGGCCGAGATGCCGTCGATGAAGACGAGCTCAAATATGTTTACCACGAGAACGGCCAAAAATCTATCCAGGTACGTTGTTCGGATGATTCTCGAAGTTCGCTGGTGAATTGTTCTTGACACTTGCCAAATGTTTTCAGAACTAAGGATTGCTATAGATGTGGTGAATCATTTGTTCTCGTGGAGTTAGATTGTTGATTAGTTTTCGGAAGTGTATCAGAGATTAGCGGATTGGTGTAGCTATGTGGTTGAAGTTTTGTTCATGTCTTCTGCAACTTTATATTGTTCTTGATACTTGCAAAATGTTTTCAGAACCAAGGATTGCTATAGATGTGGTGTCATTTGTTCTCGTGGTGTTAGATTGTTGATTAGTTTTCGGACACGTATCAGAGATCAGGGGATTGTGTAGCTATGTGGTTGAAGATTTGTTCATATCTTTTGCAACTTTATATTTACTATCTCATCCGCAATTTGCTCAGGTCCTTCCAACATTTTCTGCTTTGTTTTCGGTGGGAATAATGATGAAAGGGTTGGACATACCTGGTTTAGAGTGAGTATCTGAAACTAACCTTATTCCTACGGCGAATCAGTAGCTGACTATCACAGTCTGTTTCTTTTGGTAGTTATGATCCTAGGCTTCTGTTGCATGGGCAGCAGTATATTGAACTTTACCAGCCATTCCCTTCAAGTGCATCGGTAAGTTCTTCGAACTGGAGCGACCATTTAGTCGAAAGGTTCCAATTCCAGCGGTGACATAAGTTGTTTGTGTTTTGTGACTATTTGTTCGCTGATTGCTGATGCAGCTGGTGAACAAATCAAGTCTTGCTGGATTGCATGACAAAGGTTTGTAATAGCAAACTGGTGTAAGTTTACAGAACTATCTGCCGTTTTTAGGGTTGTAACTAGTGTAATTTGCTCCTTGTTAATACTGGCAGGCAAAGCTGCTATTGCTGAAATTGAGACCAAGACTTATGAGAAGGGATCTGGCAAACTACTATGCATGGGCAGGTGAAGTCTGATTAAGACGCATCATGTGTTTGAGGCTCCAGTCCTTTAGCTGAGCTCTGATGTAATGTTTTTTCGCTTTTCCAGATCAACGGCTTTTCTCAGGGGAGCTGGTGGCTTCTCAAAGTCATCTCAGCCGTATTCATACTCCACTTATCCAAAAGACCAAATTGGTGCTATTGAAATCCCCAAATCTCTACCCTCAGCTGTGTTTCAAGATCTTACTCAACCTTCTCAGGCATGTTAACTTTTGTGATGCTTTTTTTTTTTTTTTTTGCTTCGTAGAGTTATTCACCTGATCTATGTGTCCTACGAATCCTTCTTCCTTGTTATGCTACTAGGGCACTAGCATTGTAAGGTTTAATTAAGCCTGAACTTGCTGCTAATTCTGTATTTCCATTAGTGGTTTGATAACTGTAAGACCTAAAAAGTCTCCCTCTCCTAGGAACGAGCGATTGCTTGATCAGTGTGCCTTGCAGTAGTTCTGGATTCCATAACTATTTGTTTTTCCCACCTCCATTTTGCAGGCATTGCTGTATCGGCTGTCCGGTGATTATAATCCACTGCATTCCGATCCTAACATTGCTACAGTTGCAGGGTTTGTAATCTCTCCCATCCTTCTCTATTTAAGCACTCTAAAACATCACATCTGATCATGTTACATGACACATCACAGATTCTCGCGTCCGATATTGCACGGACTGTGCACTCTTGGATTTGCAGTCCGAGCAGTCATCAAATCCATCTGCAGAGGAGACGCGAATGCAGTGAAGAACATTCTAGGCCGATTCCTCTTACATGTTTACCCTGGCGAGACTTTGATCACCGAAATGTGGCTTCAAGGCTCGAGGTAATAATGCTATCATACTGAAATGAACTCTGAATAATGACCGGACATTCATGTTTCTGTCTAATTGAGCTCAAACTGGTTTTTTATTCAATTGTCTGCAGGGTCTTCTACCAAACAAAAGTGAAAGAAAGAAACCGGGCTGTGCTGGCTGGCTATGTCGATCTTCGTCATATACCTTCTGCTTTGTAAATCCAGGGGGATCAAAATGTCTGAAAAACAACTGTTGTAGTCCAATAAATGTATGCATGTGTGTTGTGTGTTGTTATTATATCCTTTTAGTTTGGCACATTTGTAATTGTGGAGCTCGTTTGGTCATCTTTTGTAGTCCAATAATGTATGCATATGAGTTACTATAAGTGATTTGATAAATAACTAAATAACCAAGGGTGGCTTGGATATGAGATTGTTGAAATACCTCAATTAAGAGGTAGATTTGAATATTTTTTTCTTTGTATGATAAGTGATTCCTACATTTTGATTGTTATATATTGTGAGTGCTCATTAGAGGTGGATTCAAATACATTATTGTGATGCATCATGCATATGAAAGCTTCAAATTCCATAGTCAATTGCTCGCCCTAACTATCTAATAACTCTATAACTAGTATTTTTGCAATTATATTATGTTGGTACAACTCTGTGGTAAATTATTTATCGTTGTAAATTATTTTATCGTTTTGTTAATACTTAATACACAAAAAATATTATGTTGGTTGATACTTGATTACGTAAGTTTAGTTCATTCCTGAATCCTGGCTGGTTGCCTTTCCCCCTTTCCCGAGTGAGTATATTTATTTGGGAATGGACGGCTAACTTTTTCCTCAAATGCAAAACGGCATGGCGTTTGTTGAAGATAGCTGCCCTAACATATAAAAGTCCCACAAATTGGCGCTCTACTGTAGTTCTGCCCACCGGCACTTCCTCTCACGCTTTCAACTCTCAGACTCGCAAGTCTCACTAGAAGCAGAACTGTATCCCGTCAACTGCCGCTCCATTTCTAATAATGTCAGGCGAAACTGAAGCGGTATCTCTTTCCGGAACTCCTACCACGGCGGAGCTGGCGGCGGTTAGTAACGAGGAGGAGACGCGGATCCTCAGCGACGCCATTCGTTCTTTGCCTCCTCAAGCCGTCAAGGACTTGTTGAACTCCGAGGTTTGTTTTCACTCTTTCCCGAAGTTTCAACCTCCTATTAGAAGCTCGATTGAGTGGTTTCTTTGTTCGCCCGCCATGGCTAGTTAGATTCCAGGTCGCGTTGTGTTGTTCTGGCAATAGTTTGCATTATTGCATACTAGGTGTTTGATATGTTGACAGAGTATAGAATTTGCGACTGTCGAGTATTCTTTTTGAAGGTTCACTGTTTTCCCCCTCCGGTATCCGTGTTTTTTCCTTCTTCTGGTTGCTGAGTTCGTCCCTGCTTGATTCCTTTGGCGATCATGGACACAAACTGCCAAAACCGAGAAGCCCAGGGAAATTTCTTATGATTGCCGTGCTTTTTTATCGTCAATTTTGCAACATCGATTAGTGTCGAGTGCAGTTTATACAGTGAAATGTGAATCCGTCCTCGTTTCATATAATGTTCATAAGCTCTCTTTCTTATTTGCTTCTCCTTTTTCGTTCCAGGTTTGTATCGCTTGCATACTCAGGCTGTTTGGATTCAGAGAACATTTTCACTTCCGTTCTTCTATCTCGAGTTCTATGTTGCATTCTGTTCTTGGAGAGTCGGAACATCTGGAACATTACGGGATACTTGCTGGCTCCAAATCAGGGGAGGAATTAGAAGTTCAGCAGATTGTGTGCAGGATGTGTTTAGGCATTTTGCAGTACTTATATCGCAATGATAAGGGCATATTGGTGCAAAAGCTAAGTGCAGACGGCTTAGCTGCTTCCATTGATGAAATGATAAAGCAAGATGGCCATGAGATCGACGGCTTCTCCCTTGAACTGTCCGTACCACCTGTCCTCTTGGAACATGACAATGCAGTATGGTAAGAGCCGTTTTGTTTTACTCAGTGACTCCAAAATTTCGAGATTGTTGTATTGAATTCAAACTACTATGTTTTTGTAGTCTGCTGTATTTCTAGATTATTGAATAACTAGCTAGGTCTTTCTAGAGTAGGCATTGCTATGTGTATAATAGTAAGCAATAACGATCCATTATCAAGTTGAAGTTGTTTAAGTCGGTTATATTTTGTATTGCTCTGTGTTGTCGTGATTTTGTGTGTTACTTTCTGGTTCCATGTACTGTAGGTCGTATATGAAGAAGAGATACGGACAGGAAGTTGGGATTGCAGAAGAGACCTCAAAATGTGTTTCTGTGAAGGATGCCTTAAAATTGGCAATAACATATCCCATTGAAAATATGTTGGTAAGTACAACTTCATTATACTGAATTTAGAGCGAAAATTGCGCCTCAGTGCAAAATTGTGATAAGCGTTGATACTCCCGTTAATTCTTTATCTAATTGAAGCTTTGCAGGATGTTAAATCCAGCTCCATTCCAAGCTCATTCCGCATTCGGCTGACCTATAGTCAAACGAAGCCATCATCCTCCATGGCTAAATCTCCAGGAGAAACGAATGGATCTTGCAAGAGAAGAAAAACAGGTATGTTAACTTGTGCATTTGTGTATGACATCGAGTTCATCTTGCTAGGCAACTAACACCAATCACTTCAGGTCATAGTTCAGCATATTTGTCAACTAATAAATTTAAGTCGGCTTATAGTCATTACGGGTGCACGTAGTAGTATCCCTGTCCATATGAATGATGTTCGTATGAGTTTTTCAGTGCTAGTAAGCTGTTCTTTCTGCTTTTGTTTCTTTGCAGCTGATGTGAATGGAGTACCTGTGAGGTCTTCTAACTTCTCTGGTGATCAGAAGTCCTCAGAGCCTTGCAACTTCCCTTTAGAGAAGGTAGTTCCCTACTCTTTCTGAAAGAACTAGATTTCTGTTGTTAGTGACAAGTGCTGATGTCAATGAATTCTATATTTTGCATGGAGGTTGCCTGTTCATGTTGTCTTTTATATGACTCTCTTACTGAATTTTTCGATCATACCTTTAAAGGTCAATGAACCCTACTACCTGGCTCTTGTTTGCTGCCGAACACCTATCTACATTGGTGGGAGATACCTCAAGGTGCGTATAGTAGTAGTAGCTTAAGTTACATGACGATATTGAAATTGGATTACTGCTGTCTGCTAGAATGAAGGATTGCTTCCTTTCATGCAGTTCTCAAGAAATGTTAGTCAAACTCGCTGGATTATTGACGACGAAAGAAAAGGAGAATCATCTGTCGAGGTACTTGTACCCAGGATTGCTACAGAAAATGTCTTTACTACAATGATGACATAGATCAACACTTACAAGATTTTATTATGTAGGAAATAATAGGAAGCAGCATTCTTCCAGCTTGTCAAGGTGACAGTTACAAGTTTCATGCTGCTGGCAGAGAGGATATTGATGTACTAGAGATCTCTCTTTAACTATCTCTATGTCTCTCGTCTCCTTTTCTTGTTCCAGTTTCGCCTGAACCTATATATTTATTTCTTCTTTCCAGGTGCGGATGTTGGGTTCAGGCAGACCTTTCATGGTTGAAGTACAAAATGCGCGGAGAGTTCCCTCAGAGGCTATTATCAAAGAAACAGAAACAAAAATAAACAGCTTGGAGGAAAAATTGGTAAGTTCTCATATTATCGTTTTCTTACCTCATTTGCTTCGGCGTCAAATGTGAAACCGTCTCGTGCGTGTGTAGGTTGCTGTGAAAAATCTTAAACTGGAAGTCAATAATGGTTGGGGCTTAATGCACGAAGGAGAATCCGAAAAACAGGTATTGTTTTCTTTGGCTTACTCTTTACTTTTTCCTCTATTGTGACTTGTGAGACCTTACTCTCTTATTCGTTTCATCCAGAAACAATACTGCTCTTTAGTGTGGATTTCACGCACACTTGAGGATGAAGACGTGCAGACCATAACTGCATCGAAGGATATGGTGATTTTTACACCGTCCCTTTTCACTTTAACGAACACCTTGGTCATGTTTTCTTGACTGGTGATTTGTTGTTCATGCAGAAAGTTTTGCAAAGGACACCAATAAGGGTTCTCCATCGGCGAAGTCCTTTAGAACGGGAAAAGATCATACACTGGTTGTTAAACTTTTAAGTTATTAATTAGCTCTAAGCTTCTGGCTCCACCATCTGTTCTCATCTTGTTATGCTAATGAGTTAACGAGCCTTTCCCCTTCTCTTAATGTTGCAGGATGAAAGTCGAGAGGGTTGCTGGGAGCTCTCAATATTTCCTGTTGCATTTGTGCACTCAGGTACCCTTTAATTCCCCCCCTTTGGCAACTCATACCTTGATGCTTGTTCTTTTTCGAACTAATATGAAAAATGGAGCATCCGACTATGTAAGTCATTAAATTAGTGATATACATGCTGCATTGCTACACCCATCTTTCTGCCTAAAAGAAGTAAAGCAGAAGCATTGTTTCCATACTGCATCTCTAGTTTTCTACAAGAGAATAATTGCATCACTTAACTGCTCGAATTGTTTCCACTTTGATCATTGAAGCATCTATCAGAGGCTGTGTCGTCATGAAAATGTCTATGTGATTAAGGTTAACCGGAATATACTTGATGAACAGGCTGGGACGTACATTAAAGAATTTGTTCACGGAGATTTTGGTCGCACCAATCCAAGGTAAGAAACAAAATGAACATGCTCCTCTCATGTCAGACTTCCCATTTCTCGCAGTATACGTTCTATGCAAATGCAAATGCAAATGCGAACGTCTATATCTGCCTTCCCAATTGATGCTGGCTTCTGCTAATCTGGAAGTCCCTCTTGTATTTTGTGACAGCATTGGGTCGATTTTAGGATGCAGAGCCGAAATACTGCAATTGGATGTTACAGACGTGAAGATGGACGGTTTCTGATTACCGTTGTGGCCATTGACTCAGAAGCGGTATTTTCAACTCAATTTTAGAGCCTAATTTTTGGTTCCCGGTTCTTCTTGAGGCTGCATCTTTCAGATGCAACCACACAACTATTCAAGCTTTCTGTATAAAGCTTGCATTGAAATTTGAAAGTATACTTTTCACCTTAGTTACTTGTATGATTTATTGTCAGCTCGTAATAGTTTTCTATTAGTTAGGATAGGAATCTAGTATGGTTACGATAACCTCGATAGTCGGAAAAAATCCCAAAGTACACTAGTTTTTAAAAAAATTTCCCAAAATACATAAGTTATAAAAAAAATTCCAAAAGTACACATGTTTGAGCATCACCGTTTTAGACAAAAACGGTGAAGGTCATCACCGCTTTTGACCAAGACGGTGAATACTTCACCGTTTCAAACTAAAACGGTGAAGGGTTCACCGCGTTTGTTAAGAACGGTGAATACTTCATCGTTTTAAACAAAAACGGTGAAGCCTTCATTTGAATTCCAAGTATTTTGATAACTCTAAATGGTTCTCCTCGTCGATACGATCGCGCTGCCGAAAACGGCTCGTCATTTCGACCTCAAACGAATAAGATACGCGCGTTTTAGTTTTTAGTACGCAAAAGTTACTTTAACGACATGTGCAGCTTTGAACTCACTTATCTCACTCGTTTGGACTCGGAATTGAGATCTGTAAAATTCTATGTGATCGTGGTTGATTTTCCCAACCTTTTTGTGTTGAGGGAAGATAATGATTCTTGATAAAATGATCCAGAATATTCATTCGACAACTTAAGTGCGTAGGATAGTTTTTAGACAATGCAAACTCAAATAACAACACCTAAAAATCACAAAAACAACATTGATAGTTCACTACAATGATAAAATGATAAATTCACTCATTTGCTTCATTTTGGCCCCTATCTCCACCTCTTCCTCCTCGTCCTCCACGACGTCCTCGACCCCTTCTTCCCCCCTCCGCCACTGCTTCTTGGCGGGCTCGCTCAACGGCTGGTCGCGGATTTCTCTTGACCCGAGCCCCAACTGGGGTTACATATGGTGGTGGTGGTGGCTGAGTTGGACCGGTAGCTTGACGAATGATCGGGGGGTTCGGAGTTTGTTGTTGCGGATGTTGGAATTGAGAGAACCCATGATGTTGTTACATATGGTTCTCTCAATTCCAACATCCGCAACAACAAACTCGTGGAGGACGAGGAGGAAGAGGTGGAGATGGGGGCCAAAATGAAGCAAATGAGTGAATTTATCGTTTTATCATTGTAGTGAACTATCAATGTTGTTTTTGTGATTTTTAGGTGTTGTTATTTGAGTTTGCATGGTCTAAAAACTATCCTACGCACTTAAGTTGTCGAATGAATATTCTGGATCATTTTATCAAGAATCATTATCTTCCCTCAACACAAAAAAGTTGGGAAAATCAACCACGATCACATAGAATTTTACAGATCTCAATTCCGAGTCCAAACGAGTGAGATAAGTGAGTTCAAAGCTGCACATGTCGTTAAAGTAACTTTTGCGTACTAAAAACTAAAACGCGCGTATCTTATTCGTTTGAGGTCGAAATAACGAGCCGTTTTCGGCAGCGCGATCGTATCGACGAGGAGAACCATTTAGAGTTATCAAAATACTTGGAATTCAAATGAAGACTTCACCGTTTTTGTTTAAAACGGTGAAGTATTCACCGTTCTTAACAAACGCGGTGAACCCTTCACCGTTTTAGTTTGAAACGGTGAAGTATTCACCGTCTTGGTCAAAAGCGGTGATGACCTTCACCGTTTTTGTCTAAAACGGTGATGCTCAAACATGGGTACTTTTGGAATTTTTTTTATAACTTATGTATTTTGGGAATTTTTTTAAAAAACTAGTGTACTTTTGGATTTTTTCCTCGATATAGTCTAGTGCTAGAGTACTCTCAACTTCAGTGAGGAAATTTTCACATTGACGATTGCTTTGAGAACTATTGTTGCCGCTACGCCTACGCTCTTGATATTCTTGGGAACAATTTTTTTCTTCTTCTGTTGGTCACCTTATCCCATCCAAGTCATGAAGCTCACATTGTTTCCTCCATACATCGTGTTCGTATGGAGAATTCTAACAAATCAATTTGATCTATTTATCAACATAAATTTGAATAAATCAATTTGATTTGGAGAATTTTAAAACAATTCATTTTGAGACGATTCTGATTGTTTGGAAGCTTTATAATTTGAATTTGCCGACTACAAGTACCTTATATTGTAAAATAAGACAATTGATCAACTCATTTCGTTTCTCATTTGTAATTTGTTCCATCCAATCAGGTCTAATAAATATCTAACCGGACTAATTATGAACTATTCATTCTAAGGGATAAGATTTCTAGTAATCATCCATTGTATACAATCACGTATAACAAGTTGCGCTTCACCTAATATAATAATTAGATATATTAATTGTCAAGTAGTGCTTAAGGGGTATAGTACCCTACGGGCGGGGTGTATCGTCGATGCCGTCAATTTTTGAATTCGTCATTCTAAGGGATAAGATTTCTAGTAATCATTCATTGTATACAATCACGTGTAACAAGTTGCGCTTCACCTAATATAATAATGATAATAATGTAACAAGTTGTACAATCATTTCCTTGTTGGCGCCCACCACGGCCATAAATGTTCTAAAACCAGAGCATTTACCATATCTTACAAGGAGAGCCTAAAAAAGAAGCTACCGTTCCGATGGTATAATCCAAACGGTTCCATCAACGGAATCAACACCAAGTGGAAAACTCTGATCGAGATGCCGCTCTCCTTCGTGTTTCTAATTCTACTCAGTCCACGTTGCATTCACCACCTTCGCCATGAACCCGTACCGATCCGCCGATTCATCAATCTGCCACCAAAGACAACAATGAATCAAGCGTCGGTGTCGATCGATCAGCAAGAAGAAATCTGAATCAAAACTTGTTCATACCATTTTCTGAGTCGGACGGCCGGCGCCATGGCCGGACTTCCGGTCGATCCGGCCGATGATCGGGTTGGTCTGCGGACTGTTGTCCAAGCTGGTGCACAGAACATGCTGCAACGTCTGCAAAAGAATAAGGGTACCAGAAACAGGTGATCGAAGAGTATAATGGATCTTTCCGATACGAGGATTGATGGTGGGATCGTCAACTCACCGCCAACAGTTTGAGAGAGTGTAACGGAACGACCCGATCGTCGTGATCCGCGGTCAGCAACATGGTCGGAGGGTACTGAACATCGGGGCTCACTTCCCATGGTCTCCTCACATTGTGCAGTGGAGAGTACCTGAAAAAAAGTTGCAGAGCAACACATCCATGGAAATATCGAATTGAGTTACGATCCAGCCTCCAGGTATCAAGCTTATATTAGCATTTTGTTCATTTGTTTTAGTAGGGGGCTGGCATAGTCCGATTCGGTCAGGAATCAAGCCGAATCGGTGTATAATCACATCAAACATAAACAAACATTGAGGACTATTAGCGGATCAGATACACTTACTTGATCAGCCAATGGAACTCTTCCTCTTTGTCCGAACAGCCATAGTCAGTAGTCCAAGCATGCCCTGTAAGAAAAAGATGTGTTCAGTTACATAATGAAGATAGTGGTCACTACTTTCTAAGATGAGATAAAGCTCCTTACCTATTGTGAACTTGTGAAATCGCAGCATGTCCATGACGCCAACATGAGCCAGCGAACAACCAAACAAATCCGGTCTCTGATAGCCGTAGCCAGAAAAGAAGTCTCAAATCGCCTCGTGCTTGAATTTATATTACTTGAGGCCGGATCAGAGTAACTAATTCTTACCTGATTCATGCAGGCTCCGACGAGGAGGCCACCGTTGCTCCCGCCTTCAATGCATAGCTTCTTGGGCTGGGTATAGCCTTCTGACACAAGGTACTCACCGGCAGAGATGAAGTCATCGAAGACGTTCTGCTTACTGCCTAGTGACCCTGCTTTGTGCCATTCCTCGCCATACTCTCCACCGCCGCGGATGTTGGCGATGCAGAAGACGACGCCCAAATGTTTGGCGAGTGTTACCCGGGTCACGCTGAATGACGGAGTGATGCTGATGTTGAATCCACCGTATCCGTATAGCAAGCATGGGTTTGATCCGTCCAGTTTTATGTCCTTCTTCGACCCAATGAAGATTGGGAACTTGTTGCCATCTTTGCTAGTAACGAAAACCTGAAGCCAAAATGAGTAGGGAGCAGGTAATCAACACGCTGTATATCTCAATTTTGCAGCACCATACATCTCAATTTTGTAGCCTTCGAATTCCGTGGCAGCTATTGTTTAATGCGTGCAGAAATCTAATCCAGCCAAGCTGAAAGAATAAGAGAAAAAGAACTCACTTGCTTCACTTGGAACTCTGAGCGATCAAATCCAGGTACATTGGTCTCCCGAAATACCTTCATTTCCGGATCCCCAGATCCGAAATCACATTGGTATATAATCCCGGGGGAAAGAAAGCTCGTAAATCCTATAAATGCTACACTGTCCTGTCTCCTTGCAGATACCCGAGTCACGGTACCTATATCAATAGGCAGTTGATGCAGGAAGGAACCCGTCTTTAGGTCCCTGATCTCCAACACATTCTTGACATCACTCAGGTAACTAAGTATCAATTTGTCCCCGTTGACCACATCTGCTGACTCTAATACATCCTTCTCGGATTCCGGGACAACGTCTGTCCATGAACTCGGGTCATTCAAGTCCACTCGGACTAGCTTATACCTAGGAGCATCCTTATTTGTCAAGAATGTGAATGTGGTGCCATCATTTGCTACCGGTTCATACTGAGCATCGAAGTTATCCACAAGCTTAGTGAAAGGGAGAAGTTTGTTTGATCCCTTAAAACCTTCTAGTCCTCCAGGAAGTGTAGAGATATCACAGTAGTATATTTTGTTGACTGGATCACACCCCTCGCTGATATGTAGAAGAACATGCTGCATGAACATTATGCCAACTAAGTCATCAGTAATTCCAACTGCAATAAAACAGTGTTGTGACGGGCTAAATACCAATTTGGTTACCAAACTCGTCTGTGTGATTTGGGTCATGTCAGTTAAAAACTGGTTTGGACACCATGTGTATCAAAATAAGCATTGAACTTGGTATTGAGATAACTAAGACATCAAATTTGCCCAAATAAATTGCCAAAAGCATTTTTCGTTGCATTAGTTGGTCTCTGTCATCATGTTGCTGATGTGACAGCTTTCAATTCTAATGAAGGTTAAACTGAAAAATGAAAATGCTAATGGTAATTTATTAGGTTGAGGTTGGTGTTCAAGTTATCTCAATGCTGAATTGCATTTCCAATGTTATAAACATAGACGAGTTTGTTGACCAAATTGGTGTTTGAACCTGGACATATCCTCCTGTCCAAAGCACACAGCAAAAGAAAATATACCTTTCCATCGTCTGCCACTGATGCACCGAAGAAGTGCTTGGGGTTTTCTTGATCTTTCCAACACAGAATGTCCTCGGATTGATCCGTACCCAAGAAATGGTAATATGATTCCTGATATAGATTGATATTGGTCTCTGTCCCAGCATCTAACTTCTCCCCATCTCTGCACAAGAAACTTGGAGCATCAGCTCATAACCCTAATCCGAGCAACATCCTTCATTTAATAATTTTCCCTTCTGAAAATGAACATTATCCTTTTTCCTCGTCATCCAATCCAGACGTTTTGAGTCTAGATTTTAAACTAGAACCCAGTTAGAATGAATGTGCTTTTCAATATGCTAGCATACGATGAAACTCCAGGTTAGATATCCATCCTTCAATCCTTCTCAATACACTGGCACTATGAAACACTCCCTGGTTAGAATTTCCACTTCCCTGAATCAGCTAAACTATTCAAATATCATACAACACTAGAACCCTTCTACAAACCAAGAGATGTGAGAGTTTACTTGGGAGCAGGGTAACGGCTATAGAAGAACCCTTTGCTATCATGTGTCCAACTGATCCCCGTAAACTTTGCCTGAAAAGCACAATAAGTATTCAGATTTCAGAGCTCATAGAACCACTGAGAACAGACAATTAAAAGATAGTAGCCACAGATATTGAAAGCTGTAATCTCACCCATGATATTGTGTCTTCCTCAACTCTCTTATCCTCAACTCGCATGACCTTGATTGTTATCCAATCGCTCCCGCTTGAGCTAACCCCATAGGCCAAGTACTTGCCATCCTCGCTCACCGAAAGCTTTCCCAGCGCCACTGTGCCATCCTCGCTCAGCGTATTCGGATCAAGCAACACCTCTGGCTCCCCTTCCAAGCCATCCTGTTCCGATCATTTGAAACCAAAGCTTAGATATCCCATGCTCATTCTCCCTATCCATATTACAGTTCCGATCATTTCCCCTCTCTCTCAAATAGTCACCTGAACGTAGAGAACGCTCTGGGCCTGGAGCCCGGTGTTGTGGAAGTAGAAGTACTTGTCCCCACGCTTGGACGGCGCTTCGTAGCGGGGATGGTCGAACAGCTTGGTAATCTTCTCCTTGAGCTTCTCCCTCGCATCGCAGGTCTTCAGCACGGAATCCGTCAGCTTCACCTGCTCTTCCACGAACGCCTTGGTCTCCTCCGAATCAGGATCCTCCAGCCTACCACCACACAAAAACCACACAAATAAGTTTTTGTTTCCCTTCTAAGCCGCATTTCCTCAAACAGGTAGAATGCAGCACAAAAAAAAACCTCGATTCGTTACCATCGGTAAGGATCGGAGACCTTGACGCCGTGGTAATCCTCGACGACGGTCTCGTCCCTGCGCGCGGGCGGATACGGCAATAATCCGCCGGCGGGAGCGGAGAGGGAGCCCATTGTTGATGGCGGTGAGGTTAGGAGGGGAGAAGCGGAGAGGGAGGAGAAAGGACGAGGAGGAGATGGTTTTTGGTGGTTGTTGGTTGGTGGGATTGGGAAGGAGGGAGAGTTTGAATATAAGGAGACTTGTTGGGCGGAGAGACGGAGACGGCGAGCGAGGCGTAGTGGCGGTGAAAACGAAAGAGGATTGGCGGAGGAGGGGAGGAGGATAATAAAAGGTGTGCAGCAGCGATGGTATAAGGATGAGAACATTGTGACGTGAGGAGATTTTTGGCAAGCCGAAGAGGAAAACTAATGGACAACGGTCTCGTCATTTCTTTGCTTGTTTGGACTTGTTTCCATTTGGTAACTCACATGTCGTTTGCTTCATGGATTTGAAAAATGAAGGTTTTGGTAAAACCTGGGTTTTGGAAATCCATGGACTTATGAAGGTTTTAGATCCATTATGGACTTTTAAAAATTCATTGTTTGTTTCACGGATTTCATGATGGATTTTGTTTAATGAAATTTGTAGATATTAAGTGAAATTGACCTTATTGCCCCTATCTATAATCTTATAACGAAAGAAGACTCCAAATGTGCAACATATCATCATTAATTAAGCAAATGGTTCATTCTTGGTGTCGGAGGCTGCATTGGAAGGACAAGTGCCGGGGGAGATAAATACTGAACATTAATTGCAAGTTTGAATTGATCTCCATTTTAGTAAGCAAAGCATAACATAAATCAATTGTGGCGATTACTCGAAGGACATTCTTTTAGCAAGCAAAGCATAACATAAATCAATGGTTGTGATTACTCAAAGGACATCAAGAATGTTGTTTGCTGGAAGTAGAAGGAGATAAAAAAAAATGGGAGGATGGCAATGGTGGTGATTCTGGGGTTCTTCGTGCAAGCATTTGTGACTCATAAGGGTCCAATTGGTGATTTTTGGAGCACCTCGCCACCCCATTTCACAATATAATCATTCATGCCTCTGTAGCCGTCACAAAACACCTTGTATGACATATATGTAGAAATTGAAGTAGGAGGGTAGATTGGCCATTTATATAAAAAGTTAGGACAAATAAGTAAAATACCATCATGGATTTTAATCCATCACCCAATTCCCACCTCCATAGCTAGTTTTTCCAAATCCGTGGGGTCCACGGATTTGGACCTCAAAAGTGCATGGGCCCCACGGATTTACACTCTCTAACTCCTTCAAGCAAACATTGGACTTTTGTCAAAATCCATGAAACATGCAAATCCATCCCCAAATCCATCAACAAAACCCTCAAGCAGTGACAAATTAGGGTTTTTGCTCGTTCCGCCATCAGTGACAAATTGCCCTACAGAAAAGATTGTTAGTTACTTTACCTCATTTGGTTAGTTATTAGGGTTTTTACTTTTTTCGACAACATATTTGTGATAACGATAACAGATGTTATGGCGGAACGAGACCAAACCCGCAACAGACAGACGCTTCCGGGAACATTACATAGGACTTTGAGGGGCATCAGACTTAGGTTGGGATGACAATGGGTCGGGTTGGGACGAGTTATATGTCAAACCCAAATCCAAACTCAAACTTATGAGTTTATTCACAAAAAATATTCGAGTTGAAACCCACTGGATTTGGAAAACTCATATCCAACCCGCTGGGCGCTGGGCGCTGGGTATCCGCGATTTCATGGGTACCCATAGATTCATGTACAAAGATGTACATACACACTAACTCACAAATCATTCATACAATTGTTCAATATTAAAGATAAACATCCACAAACAATATGATTAATTAAAGTTTTGAGGAATTAGTTTAGAAATTATAGTTAATTAGTTAAGGGTTTCGTGGGTTGTGGGAGTATGGACTTGGGTGCAAGTATCCACGGGTTGGATATGGCTAAACTCAAACTCAACCCAACCCAATATAATGAGTTAAACCCAAATCCGACCCGCAATCCGTTAAAGAGGGTTTTACCCGCATTGACCAAGTTTGGTCGGATAGGCTACCCGCGAATTCGAGTTCTACTGTCATCCCGCACGACCTACCCCACAACGACACTGCTAAATTGTCTTACCATTAAGAGGTACAAGTATCTTGGCTGGGGTTTGACGTTGCATCCCGTTGTGATGTTAACCAATAATTAGGGTGTTGATGATTGTAATATTTGATGCACCTCTAAAAGTTGTAATGAAAACATTGTTGTAATTGCAAGCAGTGAAAAACAGAAATTGCGTACTTTATAAGTTATATCTTCGTGTTTGTTTGATTCGCCGGCTGACATCGTAAAACTTCCTTCCGTATAGACAGATCGTGCGTGTTGGTGGTTGCACTTGCACCTACAAAGAGTGCATGAAGTGTTACGACCAACATCTCCAAAAATGAAATTTAATTGCAATTTCATTAATGGTCCCTACTTCCACATCTACAACTTTAAGATAATACAACCTCTCAATTTCATCCTACCTACATCAATAAAATTCATTGCAATTTCAATAAGTGAGACCAACACATTGATTCAATACAACTAAACCATCTATCACTATTTTCTTAATTTGTAAAACCCTTAAAATATATGTTAAAGAATACAAAAGGACCCATCCGTGGGCCCATTTCAACTGCAAGCAAATTTGTACACCAAGCAAATTTGCACACTTGCAATGACAACCCACATCAATACAATTCAAAGTTGCAATTCCAACCCCTTGTCACTATAATTGCAAGTCACTATAAATGCATCTGGTCAGTATATCTTTTCCTACATGGATTGCGACTGTCAAACCAATTCTTGAGCGTGTTTTATGATTCATTTGAACTTTTTATTTAAATGTTAAAGATGTTTTCTATCTAATGACTTTTAGTCATCCCTTATAAGCATGTTCACTGCTCATCTTATTTTGAATCAATAAGTCTATGAAATGCCATTCAATTTGGGAAGGTTAGTGCAGTGACTATGATGGATGCGATAGTTGAGATGAATTGAAAATTATATTAGGATTTAAGAACATATTAACCCTCTATTTAATTCAGACCCTAGAATTAATTTTTTAATCTGACAGTCATTAACTTAATTAGTATGATGCTAACCCCTTAAGAGGTTAGCAACTTAACTCATTCTGACACGAAGTCCATACCAGTTATTAATTCCTGGGAAGTGAGGGATTCGACTATTTGAAATGAGGCTCTCATTTTCCAATTTTATCATTATATTATGTCTAGATTTGTCACAAAAAAAAAACGATTATGCTCATCACAAAGGTCCATGTTTTGGTTACACTTCTGTATTTTTTCTGAACTAAACAACAAATACAATTTAATATTAATGTTTGAATCAATACTACTTGAGTTCCGATTTCAGAACTAATATCTTTCTATAAAATATAAATAACTTAAGATAAAATATAAATATAGAAACATCATCACCAAACATATTGCTAGAGTTCAATAAAAAAAATAACAATGAATAAAATGTAGCCTAGTTGTTATAATGCTATTTCTTCATTCAAGTGGCCAAGATTCGAACTTCAATGATAACATTTTTAATATATAAACATGAGCTGAGTGCAATGACAAAAATGACCTTCCTAGAATCACTCTCAGGTCACGAAATTTGAAATGGGAGAATTCCAACTCATGTTTTGTCTTTTTGTATTGTGTCGACTACTACAACGATCATCGTTGTCACTGGAAATCGAACTCAGGACCTTGTCCAAAAAGCTCTACCCGCTAGGCTATCCTTGTTTGGCAAAACATCACCCTTTTGATAGGATTTTTCGTCCTTTATCATTTTCCGACTTCTATGGTTGCCGTCGCTTTACACTTGGAACAACAGCCAACACTAATACGTCTTGCCCGAGATAAAGAATGTTATCCTCTCCTTCAATCAATTCCTCCTCATTGCCCGTTTACTAGACTTTTTGTTGCCCAATGTGGACCTTTGGCGTGGGATAATTTGGCCTTCCAAGTAGCAGCCCTTGTTTGAATCGTTGATGCCGATGTTGGAGGAGATAGTAACAAAGTTTACGGATCCTCCTCGAGTTACACGGTTGTGTTGGCGATTCGAGGGTATCATTTTCATATACTTCAAAATCAAATATGGTTTTTCTAGACCCTTTAAGTTCATTTTTACCAAAATGATCATGTAGGACATATTATATCGATCGGAAAAATCGGCGTGTGATTTGAATTATTATCAATAATCATTTATAAGAAAACAAATCTTGCTTTTGTTTTGTCGAATTCCAATGGGTTGCCACAACGATAATATAGAAACAAAAATATTCATCACACACTTTGTGATCCCATTTTATTTGGATATAGTCACATATGTGAAAACTAAAATCACGATTTTTCTAGGTAAAATTATGATGGGTTGTATCTAGCACAATGACACGTCGCATATCGTGGTATAGTTTCATTATCGAATATGAAAAAGAAATATGGATTCCGTCTTGTCAAATCTCAATATATAATGTCCATCACACTCCATGGTTCAATTTTACCATCACCGCCCACCTAGATGAAAAAAAAAATTGATTTTAGCTATGTTGACTAGTCATTGATGATGTCCAATTCTAGAAGATAACTCTTCTACATATTCTCATGTTTAAAATCAAACCAAACATAATTTTATCAAATTTAAATCATCACTTTATACTTTTGGTTCGACCCTTACACAAACTAATTGATTCGAACATCAACTCATCTAAACGCGATGCTCACACCTACTATCACATGAAGGTAATGCTACTTAGGTATTGCAATTGGCAGGCTCGGTTGAGTTTCTCCGAGTCCAAACCCAACCCCAACCCCAACCTAGCAAATGCACCAACTAAAATAATTATTAATTTATTCCTGTACTTTTAAAAGAGAAAATCCAATACATATGCATGAGTAACCATGAGTTCATGTTTATATGTAACTGTAAATAATTCAGTCGAACACTCTCATCGTTATATTATCAAAATTTCTCTACAATTATATTGTCATTGAAAAATAATGTCTATAATCATCCATTTATTAGGACTACATTTTTTTAAAACTAATAACATCAACAAATTATCCATGCTATTTTAGGGTTACATACAAAATGATCAATGCTGTCAAAGCCGAGCCGGAGTATGACCCGGTAACGTGAACGGCTCGGTCATTAGTGGTCCAGCCGGCATTAGACCGTTTAAAAACCGTTTGAGAACCGGTACCTAATAAATCAGCAAATAAAATGGGAATCAGCCCACAGAAACCATCGTCCAAAAGACCCAGTACCCACTCTCATTCCACTTAATCTAAACTAAACAAACAATGACTTATCTTAATTTCCAAAATCTTATTGTCATGACCAACTGTTAAGAAATAATAACAACACACGTCGTCAAATATTTGAGAAAGAACAAAAAAAACCAACCA